TTTATTTATTTATTTATTTATTTATTTATTTATTTATTTATTTATTTATTTATTTATTTATTTATTTATTTATTTATTTATTTATTTATTTATTTATTTATTTATTTATTTATTTATTTATTTATTTATTTATTTATTTATTTATATTTGAGCCAATTTGAGCTGAACACAAGCGTACAAATATCTATTAGTGTTCACTTGTTTATATTTCCAGCTTAAAAATTTGTTCATGTTAAGCTCATTAAGCTTAACGAATGAGTCGAATACAAGCTGCTTAACGAGCCGAACACGAGTTGTTTGCGAACGACAAGCCAATTTGACAACCTTAAACACACCGTTGAATAGTAAATTTGCGTAGCCTTTATTCATAAAGTGGACACCCTATTTATAGGGATGGATTAATATACAATTACATACTAAACCCCTAAGGTTCGTAAATACAACAGGGGTATTTTATACTATTTATAAATATTGCCCTTAGGTCCCATGGGAATGGCCAGATGAGTATCAAGCTGAGTGGTCGTGAGGTTGGGTTCGTGTCCGTGCAACTGCTCGCTAAGGGTTCACTTCAACCTCACCAAAAATGGAGGAGACATTTTCACGTCCTTGGTATGTCCGAATTGGAAAGAGTCAGGTTCATCCGACAGGATCCGACAGTGGGATTCTTCATAGGATGATCTACCATTTATCCGTCTCTGCTACACAATCTTCCCGATATTCTAGGGGTTGTTTGGATGACTGTGTGGTCCTGAACCATCCTTGGTAGGTCCAACAAGGCTACGCTATCACTTTTGACATCCGCACAATGTATTTGTGATTCGTTCTAACAAAATTTTGATGTACAATGTCTAACACCTAAACCTTAATTTTACATATATGCAGGAAGTATATTCCTTGGTTCCAGTGCTCCAATTCTCTTCACTGCAATCCTGACATTAAATGCAGCGGTGTTTTCTAGTGAAAAAAATTAGTATGAAGCTTTTTGACAAAACAACAATCTTGAAAAAAAAGAAATCTCATGTCCATTAATATGTATTAATATTTTTAAGTATTAATAGAAATATGAATTGCTTTGTGGATGTTTGGTAAACATAAAAATTAAGGGTATCGTTTGAGGACATTTCCTGTTCTTGTGTATGGATCGTTTGGTGTTGTCTCTGTTGCAGAGTTGATTGGAATACTTCTATTCGTTGCATATGTCTTTTAGTCTCTTGCTGCAATTGTAGTCCAAAGCTTCTATCGGTAGGAGAAGCACAATCCAATCGAGATCTTTGCCTTCCCAGGTAGCTCTAATGACGATTGTATCGCGACAATGGTAAGAGGGTTTTCTTCAGCCAAACAGGGTAGTATCAGAGTAGAGAGAGGCAAATAATTGGAGTGTCAGAGATCTTTGCCTTCCCAACTAGCTCTAATGGCGACTGTATCGTGAGGATTCATAACGAAGGCGATGATTTTGGACAGGAGATGAGAAGAGCGAGACTATGGGTCTATTTATGGTAGTTGCAAATTATTGATAATCTACTGATAAGCAGTAGATCTAGATAATTTGCTGATCAACAGCTGATTCAGATAAACTGGCTATTTGTTTGGTTTGTGCGTTTGGAAAACAACTGATTTACAGCTATTTCCGGATAAAAGACCACTCTGCCCTTGCTTAGTGATATTCTTTAGCATAAATTAGGGACACAATTTAGCATAAATCTAAGAGAATATACTCAACACAGAGATATTTTTAGAATGCCAAATTAGAACATAAACAACAAATAATCAATTCAAGTCAAATATACTCGCATTTTGAATGCTTAATTCGGGCATAAACTTCAAATATTAAATGAAAAGTAAAATATTCATTTCCCCTCACCTCGTTAACTGCTCTATCGAGACTGCGATGACAAGGGAGAGGTACTCGTTCGGCGTCCTTCGATCCACAGTTGCCTCCATAGAATAAAATATCTCTAGGTCCATTTTTTATTACTCAATATCGATCTCCAACTTCAGCTTCAACCTATAGCTTACCCTTTGCTGAATGACACCTAATACAATGCAACCAATGCAAATAAGCAATGGAAACAACACTTCTTGTAAGTGAGAAGTAGAGCACCTGGATCGATGTCAGCAAACTTCCATCTGCGGCCACCATTAACGCTTCTAGTAGAGTTCAAGAAGTGGAAGCGGTGATCTGGTGTGGAGATAGAGGAACAAAATCAGGCCAGTGGCGACGAAGAGGGCAAACACGACGACGAGAGCAGAAACATAAGAATTTATCTCCAAACACGGGTTGCAGGGTTCGACACTCGATCAATGTTTAATAGAAATGAAATCTTGCATATCGCGATAAGTTAAACGAGAAATCAAACGACCGAGCTACGTTTTAAAAATGCGAAAGCTGATAATAAACCGCGCCAAATGACCCCCGTATCATAATAATGTGCATGATATGTAAATTTATTATTTTAGAGTCGCCATACGTAAAATTTATGGTCTAAGACATTCCAATGTAAAACCCCTAATGCATCTGCCTGCAGCTTGCCAATGTCCTGCGGTCCAGTCCAACCGGTCCACCCAAAGCACTCCGGTTCAGACGTATGGCCCAGGGGTAAGTGGGTAACCAAACCGGAAAACCTCGTTGCCTCGTCAAGTCGCCTTAAAGCATTTTGCTCTCGCGATACCCTTTGCTAGGGTTTTGCGGCCGCGGCAGCCATGGTAAGTTTTTTTCTTCCTCTGGAATATAGTTTTCTTACGATTTTCGATATTTTATATTTTTGGAATTGAAATATATGAAACGATCTATGCAGGAATTGAGTTTGACATATTGCATTCGATATTTTTTGCGTACATGAGGTCCGTAAATGGGAAGAAACACTGGGAGAAAACGAATTGATTGTTGTTTGATCATGTTATCTTTCATTTTTTTTTGTTTTTTTGAATTGCGTCCGATTCATATGTTTCGCACTGAATCGAACTTCAGATGCAACGATTGTGTTGCTGCTTAACTTATATTTGGAGATAATAAATTTGTTATATATATATATATATATATATAGAAGTTTTATAGAGCAGTTTTCATAATTTGCTCATTGTGAAAATTGAAGTGTTGCGTGTATCAGAATGGAGGGTATTGAGAGGTTGGTTCTATTTTCAATTAACTTTACAGAGCTATGACTATATATACATATCGAGTATTTTTCTTTATTCTATATCACCGCCATTTCTTTTGATTTCTATTGCATTTCTTCTTTACTTTGCTAGTTTATACTGTTGTAATTGTGTGGAGTGTTGTTCCATCTAACATTTATACAATGTTGTTTCATTTGAATGTGTTTTAGGTTTCATTTACAAAGTTTGTAGGCAGTTTCTTTGTAAATTTTGTGTGTTGTGTGTGTGTGTGTGTGTGTGTGTGTGTGTGTGTATGCGCATATGTTATTTAAGAGAAAATAAATCAGTCCTATAATATACTTTAATTGTTCCATGTAACTTGTAGGTGAACGTCCCGAAAACCAAGAAAACCTATTGCAAGAACAAGGCCTGCAAGAAGCACACCTTGCACAAGGTCACTCAATACAAGAAGGGTAAGGATAGTCTATCAGTTCAAGGAAAGCGTCGTTATGATCGGAAGCAATCTGGTTACGGTGGGCAGACTAAGCCTGTTTTCCACAAGAAGGTATATTCTGATTCAATTTTTTTGTAGATGCAAGTTTATTATAGTCCATTTTCCTACTGTTTGGAGTGTTCATATCATGTATTTTTTGCATTATGGAGCATTTTAAGGCTTTGTTGTGTTGATTGAGCATTTTAGTCCTGATGGAATTTGTTTATTAGGCAAAAACCACAAAAAAGATTGTGCTGAAATTGCAATGCCAAAGTTGCAAACATTTTTCTCAGCACCCAATCAAGGTATTATTTTTGATATTTTATGTTTCATTACACTAAATTTATTAATCTTTTAATTGAATGTTATTACTCATTCACAGAGGTGCAAGCATTTTGAAATTGGTGGAGACAAGAAGGGCAAGGGAACCTCTTTGTTTTAGATGCATTGCTTTAAACTTTCATAGCTTTTGGTACTTTCATATTGTTCATTTGCTTTTTGAAGAACTGCTAGTAAGCTATGTTTGTGCTCATCTTTTTATTTTTAGCTGTGAATTATTTCACTATTTAGTAAGATAAACTTTTGAAGATTTGAACTTTTAGTGGTATTGATGTTCTTTAGGCAGGTTTGGTATAATTCTTTATTTAATGTTCTCCACTGAGGGTTCTTTCAATGTTTGCTCTGTATCGCTTTTTGTAGGTACCATTTGTGCAATATCTTAAGATTTTAACATAATTTGAACTTTGATGAGTTGTTTTTGTTGTGTTAATTTATAGATCTCTATTCTCTTTATAATTTATTTTTGTTCGATTAATGTTGTTTGTGGAAAGTCGCTAAGGTCTTCTTAGAGATATGTATTAGTCCTAAAGAGTGGAAGGGATAAGCGAGTGCATGAGACAGGGAGATAGGATTAATAGTTTTCTTGGTGAAGTCGTACAAAAGATGTGATAGATGTGTTGAACCAAACTACAAAGACAATTTTGGAAAAAAATATTGAGATTTGAGAGAGAATTTTATAGGGATTTTAATGAGGGAATTCGATGTGTTAAGTGTTTTGTGATATGATTTTCTAATGTGCCTTTGCACGACCATGATCCAAGGTTGGCATTATTTAACTGTTTATATTATGTGCTTACATGAAAGACGCATAAGTTTAGCTTGATTTATTCTGTTATGTAATAAATGCATTTTGCTTATAATTTTTTACTAGTTGAGAAACTTAGGTAATTACCTTGTCGAGCTCTTTTGTTGAGAATACCTATTCTACTAATAAGCATTTTAGGCAAGTTGTCAATTTCTTTTGGTAGATAAATTTCAGGAATGAATATTTTCAAGATTTTCTCAAACCACTTGAATATTTCAATTTTGAGGATTGAGTTAGAGCTGATTTTATTTTAGCCATGCGCAAGCATGTTGAGTGTTAACACATCGTTTATGTTTCTTGTTGATGAGAAATCACAAGAGTTAGTTTACTTAGTATGAGAGTGAAATGAAACATTATGTTTTTTTAAATAAGAAATAGTTAGAATTCATTTAGTAGATATCCCTCTCGTGGATGGCCACTACAACTGAGAAAGTTGTGCGTTTAAAGGAATGAAGTCATGACAGTTTTTTCCAATGAATTGTTAGAGCATGATGTAACTTTTGCGATGGCGTTGAATCAAATAAAGAAGGCATTACATGATCTGAGAATACACAAGAAGCGCATGCAATCTTCAAGATTTAACAACTCTCTAAATTGTGCATATAAATAAATATAAAATTTTTGAAAATCAAAAGGTTTGTAAATAATTTGGAGTCAAAGTTAATTTAAATTAGAGCGTTGCTTATGAATTGATGTAGGCTAAGGTTTGACTGATAGAGGTAAAATTCTTACTAGAGATAGAGCAGAGCAAAAAAAATTCAAATTGAAGTCCAGGTTGTGAGCGCATAGTTTTGTTGTTGATCAACAAGTTTGTTGAAGTGTAGTATATATAGACTGGATATCTAAGATGTGAAATTGTTTGTTGTTTAGATGTTTATTTATTTGTCAGCAATTATTGGTGATTTCTTTTTTAGCATATGTGAGTACTTGGAAGGCAAAGAGGATAGGGACTAGTAGGCAAAAAGATCAATAAAGAAGCACTATGATTTTAATTGCCTTTTCCATCTTTGTAAGATTTATTGTGGTTTTAACTTGACATACAGATTATAAATTTAAAATTGATGAAATAAAAATTAACTATTTTGAACATTGTTGTGCTATGGTGCATATACAAATATGATTCTCTGACTCTTTTGTGATGTTCTAGATAATATTTATTTGTTTGAGAGAATCGCTTGAGAATTTGATACATGTGTTAAATCTTGCTTTGTGTTTAATTTATACTATATTGTTTCAAGACTAGCCACCTTGATGTGGATGGGACTCAACTTACATGGGATATTTTGTCCTCATTGGAGTAACCCTCTTTAAGATTTTGCATTAGAGTAAACATTTTTTCCTTAATGCATATGGCCTTGGAAAGGTGGAGCGTGTGTTCTAGGGCTTTGACTTTTAGTGGATAGATATTTTCAGAATTTAGCACATTGCTTGTTGTGCGACTTTAATAAGTTTTTAAGAATATTGAAGTTTTGAGGTCATCAATTGATTTGTGGATATAAAAGTTGAAAGTTGTGATTGACTTAGGAGCCGACTTTGTTTTTATTTCATTGATTGAAATTACAATAGGTAAATTTTTTATAAGGAGGAGCATTCATTTATATAATGCAATTTTTTAAAATCATATCCACTCCAAGTTATGGTAATGTTTTTTTTTCAATATATGTTCAAATTTGGTAAGTGCTATAACTAACTTATTCTTTAATTATGCAAGAACTTTCCTATGTTTATTTGAACTTGTAGAGAATGGATTGTATGATGCTACACTAACTTTGTGATGTTGAGACTATGTAAGGAGAAGTTTCTTTTTTTGACATTTGTGTTATAATTTTTTTTTTAATTTGCCTTTTCTTTTTTTGACATTTGTGTTATAATTTTTTTTTTTTTTAATTTGCCTCTTGTTTTCATAAGTGAGTGATGTTTGAATTCAAGGAATCAGGTTTTTTTAATGAGAGCAAGAGAAGTTTCAAGGCATTCTTCAGTAGAGTCTCTTCAGTTGATGAGTTGTTTGAAGTTTGATGCACCAATAACTTTTACTTTATTGATTATATTTTTTGACAAGAGGGCCACAGTGCATGAGGAAGGCAGTCTATAGAACCCAAAGTACAGAAGGCATCATGTCAACCATTTGTTGTTCTTGACCTTTAACTATCTTCTTAAAGCAATTTTTGTTAATGTTCTACTTGTCTCTTGGTTCTAGAATAATGCTTTGAGATGATTGCCCTAGTTTAAGTGAAATTTATTGACATTTTTTGTTAATCACCATAGATAAATCATGGTGGGTTTTAATGTGAATCTACATAATGCTTTTGATTACTATTTGATCTCCTTTGCTAGAGTTTTACATTCAATCCATTTACATGTTAGTTGATCATCACAAGGATAAATTGATGTAGATCACTTGTTAGAAGGAAATGTCTAGGAAATTCATTCCCATGTACTGATTGACAGAGTACTATAGATTGACTTGTACTAGTGTGAATTTTGGATCTATAATGGAGCAATTTTTTAGCAATATATGCACTTCTTTGATATTTCTTCTGCATCTTTTTAGAGAGTTGACTAGAAGTAGCCCTTTTTGAATGATTCTATGGGCAAGTGTCTTTCCGCAAAAATGAATTTAACATTCACTAGAGTGAATCTCCTCAAGGATCTTAGGAATGTTATGATTTTTTTTGCGCGTTAGAGATTTTTGATAATTAATGGTCTTTGAAGGGGTTGGTCCTTAATTAGCATTTATTGAATTAACTTGACTTTGAATCTCCTAGATCTTTGTTTGAAGATGGAATACTGCATATTAATAGATATACACAAATGAATCAACCTAGATGTATGCAACTTGGACTAGGACAGTTTCTGGTTTTTGAATACAGGCACATGCATTCAATCAGAAGTTGAGCATCAATGTTTGTGTGTTTGAGCGACAAGTTGGTTAATTTTAGTCTTGTGGGATTTGCTCAATGTAGACATATTTAGTTTATTGATTTATGTTTTTACTTCAAGCATATATTTATGTATGGTTGTTTCTTGAGGCTTTGATATTCTCCATTGATTTGGTTGATGATTAGATAGTTGTTGGTAAAGATGATGCGATGCTTGGCATCAACTTTCATGGCAAATCAGCTCACTTGGCATGATTATTACGAACTTTGAAATTGATATTTTACTTGGAAATATATTTTGATTGTTAGTTTTAGGGAGAGTTTATTTTGGCTTTCCAGCCTGAGTTCTGAACCGAACCAGATATTATTGTGTGTGAATTGAGCATTTGATGGATGGCGGCTGGGATCACGGCACAATTTTTTCTAAAAACTGCAACCGCAGCTCTTACCCTGCAACCCTCTTTTGTTATTTATTTTTTCCCTGATTTACCCAGAGGTAAATGGGCCTCTCTAGTTAGTGAACAAGCCAGTGCCTTAGCTCTCGTTCATGGTTCCTCTTGCCATCGCACTGAATTCCTCCACTGCAGGCTCAATGTGAAGCTTTCATAGCGCTAACAGAACCGAGGAGGCGGTGATTCCACAAAGAAATTTGCCTGAGAAGTGGCCGCCGGTGAGTGTTTTGATCCATGGATTTTGAACTGCACACAAAAGACCGAAGTGTCTGGTGAGTTTAGAGGGAACTTTCTACTGTTCGAAGTAAAATTTCTTTGAAATCATTACTGTTTTGGACGAAACTGAGGTATTATGGGCTCTTGAACTCATTTTCCTGGCAGTTCAAGCGATAAGGGATTCATGTTTTGTTTGGATTGAAAGAAAGCTAGGGAAAGGAAATGAAATCCTAATAATATAATTTGAAGAGAAGTGAATTTTTTTTGTTTTTTTCATTTCCTTAGCTCAAATTCCCAGCATCCAAACAAAGGCTTTAGATACATGCTATAGCCAGTGAAATTTTTTTTCTTTGTGTTTATTGTTTCTTTCATTCTTTTCACGATTTAACACTGCCATTTCTGGTCCGATGCTTGGATGTAACATAAAATTTGTTGAAAAAAATCATGACATGAATCCTTTTGATCATTGTGTAAGTGCTTGGGCGTCCTTTGGAAGCGACACACTGTATAGTCTGAATACAGTGAAAGTGTGCAAGACCCACTACACTGGCGCCCGGGTGTAGTGTCAAATAAGCAAGGGTTCCCACATAACGAATGAATGCGGGTAAAGAAGTTAGTTCATGAAACTAATGAAACTAATATTAGGATAAGATATTGGAATATGTACTCTCAATGGTAAATTAATAAAATTAATTGATATTATGATTCATAGGAAAATTAATATCTTATGTATTCTAGAAACTAAATGGGTTGGAGAAAAGACTAAGGAGATTGATAATTTAGGTTTTAAGCTTTGGTATTTTGGTAAGATTCACACTAGAAATTGTGTAGGTGTAATTATTCACTGTATAGTCTGAATACAGTGAAAAGTGTGCAAGACCCACTACACTGTCGCCCGGGTGTAGTGTCAAATAAGCAAGGGTTCCCACATAA